AACAAACCCCAAGACACTGGAGTATTCCTTTAATATAAAAATACCAATTAGCTCTTAAAGCCTGTATAAAAGTATTTTCTGTCCTGCTGTCACTCTGTACCTCACATTTAAAAGTTTTCGCTGATTTCACACACCGGACTCACCAGATTAGCTCATACGCCTCGAACACCTTTGCCATTTAAGCAGGAAAAACATCATCAAGTTGAGTGCCAAGTACTAACACTGCTATCAAACACCAAAAAGATTCACGACCTTTGATTAAAGAGGCACAAACAGAGCAATATGGCTAGATTTGGCACAATTTGGAGTTGTGACTCAAATACTGATTACTATGTAATCATCGCAGATTACTTCATGCCTCTGACAAACCGCCAAGGCTTAAAGGGTTAAAGATGGCCAGACACGGAGCGCGGCAGTCTCTCAGACGCCTGACAAACACTTGTCTCACTCAAACACTATACTTGAGTTATACCCGAGTTAAGGAACTTCCCCTCAAGGCTAATCTGTGCTGTTGTCTCATACAGCATAAACAGCAGAGGGATGCCAAGGCCTAGAAGTTCAGAAAAGAAGGCATAGTCGTCCTGCCGCTCTCTGAGGTGCAACCATAAAGCCCAGGCCACACCATGCATCCAGCCGGACAGCCGGCTCACGTGCAGCCTTTTCCTAAACAGGGAACTCAGGGTACCTGAAGGCTGGCTGTGGAGGTTCCCGCTGGCACCGTACCCATCGCAATCATCGGGCACGGACACGTCTCTGTGGACCTGGGACATGTAGACACGGGGGAAGAGCGTCCAAAATAACCATCACTTGAACTGCATTGCTCACAGATAGTTCTGAGGGGATGTAAATTACCTCTGGCTTTCGAAGCCTGTGGCTGGATTTACGTTGGGAGAAGTGCAGCTTGCAGTAAAAAGTGCCTGCAAAATGCAAACGGTTTAATCAGAAAACAAAAGCACAAAATACTGAAACTTGCATATAAAAGATACAAACATATAACCTACAGACAATAGCACACACAACCACACTGATTCATACAAGGACAAGGAGGAGCTGAAATTAAGACCCAGTATGTATTAGAGTAAGGAATAAAGTGCTTTATATGAAAACAATCCACTGTGGGGTCGTGTAATGCCGTCTCGTGCAACGTGGAGTTACTCTTGCCACCCCAAAGTTGATTGATTGTTTTCCTACAAAAGCATGTCTTGTAGCTTTTTATTTCCTTTTACACCACTTAATTTTTTTTTCCATTAAATAACAGTGCAACATATTAAACATAACCGTTCCCTCAGTAGCCTCTCTCTCATTTTATGTTTATAAAAAAAAAAAAGGACACAGATACTGTACACAGCTTGTCACATTATATCTCCGTCCTGAAGACATTTCCATGTCGGAAAACTTAAAGATACCGACTATTACAAAAGTGCGGATCCTGGAGACTCCTTCCATACTAAATGCTAAATAAATATTGTTTCATAGAATACGTCAACAATTAAACCGGAACTTTATATGGAGTATGCTCTACATCAGGGGTGTCCAGTCTTATCCGCAAGGATCCGGTATGGGTGCAGGTTTTCATTCCAACCAAGCAGGAGCCACACGTGATTCCACCTGTTTAATCGGTTGATCTTGGCTTTCAATAGACTCGGGTATGGCTTCTGCTGGGTTGGAATGAAAATCTGCACTAACACCGGCACTTTTTCGATAAGACTGGACACCCCTGCTCTACATAAATGGATTTAAAAAACAAACACACACAAAAAAAAAACCTTCGTTACTATAGAAATACTAATGTATTAGAACGAGTGCATTAACAGAGCTACTGTTATAGACGCTCAAATCAATAACCTCTGACCAATCAGAACTCAACAGAACTGTGGTAGAACTCTCGTTAATAGTATAACTTCAGTGATGGTTACAGTACAGAATAAGAAACACATCTGGAGCAGGTAGGAGTCTAGTGTGGGATGAAGGTGGTGAGACACCATTTCCAGGAAATCATCTACTTCTGCTCCTGTACTATTTGTTGTCAATTGTGATCACTCCCCCACCATGGCTATATTGATAAACAACAGACCTGTAGGAGTAGTATACGGGTTATACCTTGGTCAAACACGTGTCCTCCCAGCCTCAGGGTGGCACTGCAGACAACACAGCGGAAACACTCTCGGTGGAAGAAGTAGCCCTCTGCGCTTAGTCGCTCCATAACATACACACGCTTCTTACAGAAGTGGCAGGTGTCACTGCCTCCCATCCCAGGAGCAAACTCCTTCCGCAGGTTAACCTGAAACATTAACATGCACGAAGGAGAGTGAAGTCAAAAAGCGATTGTGGATTACTCAAGAATGGCAGTGCTGTTAATATTTCACACAAACGATCGCGGTCTCCTTTGACTGACCTCTGAACCGAGTCAGTTTGGTTTGCTAATCACACAAAACAGTGGGTCGGTATTATCCAGTACACTATGAAATGGAGTGAGACATTACAGACAAGCAGGAAGTGATTCCACATTAGGCCAAAGTTAGAAGAATTACAAGTACCAATTTAGTCTTAAAGATTTTGGTAACACCACAATCTATTTAAAGGAGAAAGTCAGAGACTTTTTTTTTTTTTAAATAAACAATTTCAGCATAATTCACTGGTTATGCCATGAATAGTGTTTTAAAAAATGTACCAATTAATTAATTTTTTAATTTTATTTATTCAACAAACAATTTTTCCTAGAATGACCCCTCCAGACAAAAACAAGAGGTTTTTTTTTTCTAGACTGGTTTAATAAACCTTTCAGACATTCTAGATTATTTTCCTGCTATTCTGTATGCTTTTAGGAAAATCAAAAAAATTCAAACCTTCTTGAAGGAACAGATTTCAAAGCTTAGTGTATGGAGCTTTAAATCAGCAGAAAATCTATTTGCAGAATCTGAAATGCTTTCCATGTCTGGAAATCTGTTACTCTAACTGAAATCCTTTTCCAACCCGAATCCTTTTCGAACCACTGGTTTTATTTAGGTGCTATATTTTCCCTATCGCATTCATAAAACAGCATCTAACAACCATGTACGTGAGACCATTTTGTGTAATGACTTTCTGTAGGAAAGATTTCCAGGCTTGTAACCTAACTTTGTGGTCAGTTCTGACTTGAAAATTCACCCATTATAGAGAAACTTGTCATCAAAAAATAATCTCCCTGACTTGGTTTCCTTCCTAGTGAGTCAACTGTGTGGAGATGCCGGTTACCGTACCTTGCAGAAATATTCTTTTTTTGTACACTTATGACACATAATCCCAATTAAGTCCATTTCAGTTCCAGGTTTTAACACTACAAAATGTAGAAAAGCTCAAGCAGGTGAATGCTTACACTAAAACTTTCCTCTAGACCAAAAACAAAATATGTTATATAAACCGGATTATGGTACATGAGGGTTAATCGGTGTGCTGATTAAACGGTGAAAGACACAAAGCAGTTATGAAATTCAGCCAGTTAGTTCAGTACATTTACCGAACCAGACTCCTGGCATCTCCTGGCCTCGGTCTGTAAACGAAAAATTAAAAACACTTCAATTCAAAATCCTCTCTTTCAGTGAGAAAAACAACATCCATGGAAGTAGTTTCATCTTATCTCACGAGCACTGCCTGTTCTCACAGAAAGAATCTGATAATACGACTGTGGTTAAACAAGTGACTAAACAAAGAAACTCGCGACACTGCTCCTAGCAATCAGCAACAGTTCCTTCCTTTGTAAGAATTGCTTTTTTTTTTTTTTATTATTATTATTATTTTTTAATCAAATGATCCATCGTAGATATCACGTTATAATAACACCAGGGATAGGGCCAAGAAAAGGAAACCTTGTGTTTTGCCCCAAGTGTTGTCTTGCTTACCAGTGAGAGGGTGTAAGGCTTGTTGGGTCTGTGATCAGTTTCATAAAGGATGGCCAGAGTGGCAGCTTTAACACCAATCACAGAGGAAACCTTTCCCACTGTCCTCTAATTCATCACGGATAGAGAAGAAAAAAATGGGATGAAAAAGGAAAAACAGGTAGACAGGAAGTGAAAGTCATGAGAATCAAAAATAATTAATCCCTGTCTTTTGCTCGTGTCTTTTTTTTTTTTAAAGTATGCCTAACCCCGCCCCCAAAACCGCCATGCTCAAACCTCTACAAAACATTCAAACATCATTAGGAGTGCAATTTCAATCACTGTTGCTGGTTCTCAACTAACAAAAAAAAAAAAAGCTCCGCTCATGCAGAAAAAAAATTAATAATAAAATAAAAAATTTGTAAACTCTTCACCGTCCTAAAGTTCCACAAATTATCAGGCATGCAATGGGAGTGGTGCATCTGTAAAAACATCTGGAGCTGAGTGAGTGAGCCAGAATGTTGTGTTCCCTTGGAACAGTGTGTACGAGGAGGTCAGCTAACCATGATGATTAAGAAATGCCAAAAAGAACAAAACATTAAACTTAGGCCTTGACTGATATACCATCCATCTGATAAAAAGTCCGATAATCTAATATTATGGCTGCACGTGCTTATCAGCATCCACAACATCAGGTTGATGTTATTGAGGTATATTAATACACCAGCCTGATTTTGCGGATATAAACATTTCTTTAAATGTTCGACAGGAAAAGGACATTTAAAGTTTGATGTTCATTTGAAAAGTTCAACTTAAAACAGCTCATTATAAGGTGTAATTATGCTCTTGGGTGGCTCTTAACAACAGGGTGGACACCAGACAGAAGATTAAATTTACTCTTTAAAAAAAAAAACCTGGTGTATGTTGTTCAGTTGAGGGTATGTTTGTATTCCTTATTTTTTCTGAATGAAAATAAGATTTTACCTAACCTAGATTTTACAACGTACACTCACGATCCACTTTATTACACCTGCACATTCATGCAGTTACCTAATCACTCAATCATGTGGCAGCAGAACAATGCACGCAGTCATGGAGATACAAGTCAAGAGCTTCAGTTAACATTCACGTCAAACATCAGAATGGGGGTACGGTGGCTTAGTGGTTAGCACGTTTGCCTCACAGCACACCACATCACACCTCCAGGGTCGGGGGTTCGATTCCCACCGTGACCGTGTGTGCAATGTTGCAGGTTTGAGTTTGCATGTCGTCCCCGTGGGTTTGACCCTGTGACCCTGAAAAGGATTAAGCGGTATAGAAGATGGATGGACGGATCATTTCTGTGACTAACTGTGGCATGGTTGATGGCATCAGATAGGCTATAGAAACTATTTCAGAATGGTGCAAAAAAAAAAAAAAAAAAAAAAAAAAAAAAAAAACCCAAACCATCTTGTGTGTGAAGGATATGCAGACGAACAACTTAGTGTTGTGTGAGAGGAGAATGACCAGGCTAGTTTGAGAAGACAGGAAGGATATAGTAACTGAAATAAGCACTCTTTACAAACATGTTGAGCAGAAAAGCATTTCAGAACATACAACACATCAAAAGCTGAGGTGGATGAACTACAACAGCAGAAGACCACGTCAGTTTCCACTCCTGTCAGCCAAGAACAGGCAATCATGAGCACAGTCTCACCCAAATCAGACAGCTGAAGACTGGGGGGACAAATCAGACAGCTGAAGACATTTTTCCAGTCTTCAACGGTCCAGTTTGGGCCCACTGTAGCCTCATATTCCTGTTCTTGGCTGACAGGAACAGAAACTGATGTGGTCTTCTGCTGCCATAACTCATCCAACTCAAGGTTTGATGTATGGTGTGTTCCGAGATGGTTTTCTGCTCACCATGGTTGTAAACAGTGATTATTTGAATTACAATACCCTTCCTGGCAGCTCGAACCAAACGGGCCATTTTCCTCTGACCTCTTAACAAGGTGTTTCCACCCACAGAATGGTCACTCATGGGACATTTGTGTTTCTTGCACCATTCTTCTCCACTTTTGCAATCGGTGTTTAAACTGGTGAACTGGTTTTAAATACAGACAAAACTAAGTTAATGATATTTTCAAACTACAACGCTCTACCTAGGAATCTTCCTGACATTACATCCTTCCAGGGGAAAACTAAATAAATATGTATGTGTTTTTTATTTGATAGTCAGTTATCTTTTAAGCTTCATATTGAGATATACATTTCTTAAATTTAAAGCTTAAATTGGGGCTTAATTTCAGAAACAGAAATTTTTCCTTCAGTGCCAGGAAATATTTGGTGTCTGCAAACTTTTCACTTGTTATAAACTACATTTCTTTGTCTTCATAGATTTTTAGAGTACTTTATTGATCCCTGAGGGAAGCTGATTAAGGGTATGTAATCTTTTGCATTAAGTGGTTGCTTCTGCTGTTAACGTGAGTTTCTATCACCAAAGCCAGAAATTTAATTTCCTTAAAATCATTATATCAGTTAGGCCTTAACGTACAAACATGTGACAAATTAAAGGGAAAAAACAAAAACAATGGTGCCGTTATGCTTTAGAGCGGCATTTATTTCTTTTTTCCTAACATGGTTTGGCTCCACTCATCTCTTTAAACTGAAGCATCACCGCAATCAATCCTGCGGTTCTTCTTTATCCTACTAGGAAATATTTCTATCCTGATGGGTGTGGTCTCTTCTGGGGTGACTCTGCCCCTAGGGCACATGGGCTCTCTGAATAATTTGATTAAGATGAAAATGATGTCCAGAGCATCACTGATTATAATTTTATAACACTCACTAGATTTCATCCCAAATGAACACCTATGGGAGATTTTAGAGTAAGGTGTTAAACAGCGCTATCGATACAACACCAAACGAGGGGAAAGGTGTTCATTGCTCCAGTAAAGCTCCAGAGACTTGTGCAAATCAGTGACGAGGTGCATTGAAGATGTTCTGGTGGCAGTGCTGCCTTGTCCTTTAAATCACCACATCTCTAACATGCAAGAGGAGCATGTGTGTTTGAAAACTGCAATTCCAACCAAACATGCCAAATCTCGAATTAAAAACCTTAAATACCTGTTTGGAAGGATTGAGGCATTGTACACGCTTGATCTCGGATCGACTTTTTTGCCCGTGGTGATCATGAGTCATCTGCTCGGACTCAGAATATCCGTTACACTACAATCAACACACAAGCACACGAGACAACTGATACTATAGAGCATTAATCATTCTGTTTATTGAACCTAATTCCCACCCACACCATCCCCCCCCCCAAAAAAAAACCATGACAAAGAAACCACAGGGTCTTGCGAGCTCTATGTTTATGAGAAGCAAACATGAACATGAGCTGACATGTGTTCAGTAGATCTGTGAAGATGTTAGCAGCATACTGCTCTCTTCCACACCCAATTCAATACAATATTTATTCCTCTGCAAGAACCTGCATTACAGCAAACACGCCCTGCAAGAGCTGCATACTGTATATGATTTAATCAGAAAATGAGTTGAAGGGAAAATGTAACGCATGCACGAGAGTGAGGAGACAGACTGGAGGCTGATGGTGTTACCTGCTTGGGCTGAGCTTCAGGAACAGGACACAGCAGACAGGAAAGAGCAGAGGGCTCAGGGAGAGACGGACACAAAAGAGGTTTAGGAGGAGGAGAAGTAGGAGCTGCAGAGGGCCCAGTCATCTATTAAATAAAAGAAGGTAGGAAAGGGGGGGTGGGGGGGCAGTAGGGAAAAAGCAAAAAAGGAAGCAAAATTTTAAGTGTATGAAAAGTTTAAATTTTAATAAAGTAAAATCAAGTGAAAATGTAAATCAAAACATTTTAATTAAAAACATAAAATAAAGATGATAAAAGAATAGAAAATAGAAGCAAAAGAATAGAAAGAAAGAAAAAAGAAAAAGCAAAATACAAATAAGGAAAAGGAAAAAGAAAGAAAACCTAAAAGACAATAGAAGATAAAGCAAGAAATTGTAAAAGAAAACAAAATACAAATAAAAGAAAGAAAAAAAAAAAGAAGAGAAAGGAAAACCGACAAGCGGAAAGTTAAAACACTGTTCGTTAGTTGTGTTGGAAAGTAATCACGGTCACATGCCTTTCTGCCTCAGTGATGCTTAAAATGACAAGTCTAAATCAAAGGGAAAAAATCTGGGAGATTGAGAGAGTGAGCGAGAGTGTGACACTGTATGTGTACTGTGATGGAGCAGCCATGCTGAAACTGGACTACAGTGATCTCTGCCAGGAGAACCACACACACACACACACACACACACACACACACACACACACACACAACACACACACACTCTCTTTGGGAGTTGTGGTGAAATTTAGTCAGCGTTCAGGTTGGAAAACCACTAAATAGATTTCCTTTATAGTGCATCATTACGACACCAACACCACTCAGCAAATCCTTGGTTATCAGTGTTTAAAAACCATTTGTGATTCAGTAAACAAATACATCAGGATAAAAAAAAAAAAAAAAAAAAACAACATGCAACAACAAATGGAGAAATTCACAAAGCTGGAGTTATGACTCACACACAGCAACCGAGAAACAGCAGAAAACAGTGACCGTGTTAGTCATCCCTGGAAAGTCATATGATCATCTATCAGTCTGACTAGCGATAACCAGGACCGTACCATCTCACTCTTTAATTAGGGGTGCAGTAGGGCAGGCAGGATTGTACCACAACATTCCAAACTGAGGCGGCAGCAATGTGGCGTGCCTCTCTCACTCAATCACCTGAGACGGTGTGCCAGAGAAGAGGAAGCTCAGCTGCTCTGCTCTCTCCCTTATACTCTTTTTGCTGAACTCTCGTGCGCTTTGAGTCTGTACTTTCTTCTGCAGCGAGGCAAACAGGAAGAGCATTCAGAGGAGGAAAAGGAAAGCAAAGCACTTTTCCTTCACCTGCATCACCTTTGCAGAGGCGCAAACTAGCCAGAAGCTTAGCTAAAAAAAAGTTTTCTAGTGCTTTTTTTAGCTTCCATATTAGTTCAGCTAAATGTTAGGTAGTTCATTATAACCCCAGAATGAAATCTGGAAATCTATGAACACAAATATTATTGTTAGCCAGCTAACATTTTTAGGAGCGATACCGGTCTGAAACTCTGGCTTGGCATCGGAACAGATTTGATAAATCTTCACATCTGAGCCACTCGTGTATTTTATCCTGTGAAGTCAACTGATAACAAAGATCTTTAACATGAACAAAGTGCACAAGCAATCTTAGTCATTTTGTTTCATATTAAACAGTTTAGCAGGAATTACCAAGAGGACCTCAGTATCGTATCAGTCTCGGGTACAAGGTATTCGCCCAACCCCTGAGAGCTGATACAGGTATTGTATAAGAAATGAGAACGTGAGATTAGAGCATCCTTTGCCAGTTAGCTATGAGAAAAGCTTATTGACTTGTATTTGTGAGCATACTGATAAAATAGTGAACAGAATGCCTGGATTGGCCGAATACTTTCTTCAAATTTAGTGTGCAGAGTTTACCGTAGAAGGTACTTGCCCTTCTGAATGGGTACTGCCTTTATCTCGGGAGCATGCAAAAACTCGCCAATAATGACTTTCTGTAAAGTCCCATGAAGCATTGGGAAGTGAGTAGAGTCTACCTTTTGCTCGGTAGCGGCATTCACCTGAGTGGTTTTGTCCTCCAGAATCTTTAGTCGTTGCAGCATCCCTCCCAGAGCAGGTGTGGAGAACAGGAGGGTTTCTGAGGGCTTGGAGGGGACTGAGGGTTGCTTTTCAGGTTTGAGGACATGCTTCAGAGTCATCAGCTGGGTAGCTGAGACAGAAAGGCATTGAAGACTGGATTGAGGGTCAGGGGATGGGTAACTAGCCTGGGGTTGATGGCAAGACCAGGGTTCTGTTGTTTGACAAGTGAACTGGCCTTCTGGTGTCTGAAAACCTGATTGGTCATCCACGTTGTGGTAAACTGACTGAACTTGAATGTGTTGGGTTTCCAGGTGTCCATGTTTGTGGCCAGGCTGCATTTGAGACTCAAGAAGTCTCAAGTAAGAGGACGGCTGGAAGCAGGCATACAGAGTAACATTCAGACTGTGGAACTGAAAGAACTGATTTCAATAATCACACACGGCCATTTCTTTCTTGTCCTAGAAGCACGATACACATTTAGCAAACTGATGGAGACTGCATGCTTATGTGAGCAAGCCTAGTTTGAGCCTACCTGCCA